GGCAGAGAGATTTTCTGATAGCCATTTCCTTTCTTTGTTCCCCTCCCCAAATTCACATTTCTCCGGCTATAGCCCCATCGTAATATTTCTCCTACAAATCAGGATAAAAGAAGACAAACAGGTTGGTAAGTTACTGATGCTCAGTATCTGGCTGCACAGAGCCAAGCAAATACCTATTACCAAATACTAATTTCTGCTTTTCTTAGTCACTTTATCACTAAATTGGGTCACTGACATGGGCAACAATTTAATATTCAGGTTAGTTTCTTTATGCCCCAAGGATCGATAACGCGTCCCACACTATTCAATATCTTCACCAATGAGCTGGATGATGGGATTGAAAGCACCCTCACTAAATTTGCTTGATGACACTAAAGTGGTTGTTGAAGTGTACACATGAGAAGGGAGAGACATCTTATAGAGAGACCTGGGCAGGCTGGAAGAGTCGGCGAGCAAGAACTGAATGAAGTTTAACAAAGACAAGTGCAAAGTCCTGCACCTGTAACCAAATAGCCCAGTACAGGCTCGGATCTATGTGGTGGGGGAGCAGCTATGCTGAAAGGGATCAACAAGTTAAACATCAGTTAGCAGTGTGCTGCTGAACGGCAAATCAGATCCTGGGCTGTAACCACAGAGGTATTGGTAGTAGACATAGAGGCATGATTATCTCGCTCTACTCAGAGCTTGTCAAGCTACACCCGGAGTACAGTGTCCAGTTCTGGTCCCCACAGATCAAAAAAGACACAGATGGACTGGAGAGGATCGAAAGGAAGGCCAAAGGATGATCAGTGCTGGAGAACCTGTCCTATGGGGAACGGCTGAAGGAGGTAGGTCTTTTCTCCCTGGAGAAGAGAAGGGTCAGGGGGGATCCCATCACAGTATTCCAGTACTTAAAGGAAAGCAACAAAGAGGACAAAGGCTCTTTCTTCACAAGGAGACATATGGAGAAGACTAGGAGCAACAGGTACTATTTGCACCAGGAGAGGACTCATCTCAGTATAAGAAATAAGTTTTATACAGTGAGAACAATAATTCACTGGAACAACCTCTGCAAGAATGTGGTAGAGTCTCCATCACTGGAGGTTTTCAAGATGCAATTGGACAGGGTGTTGGGATTCTAGAGGGCTTTCTGTGAGAGAATGGACATGTGAGCAATCCTGCGTGAGAACAAGACTGATAAGAGCCTCAGCCGAGCAAGAATGCGATAAGGATGTGACCCTGAATGAGGGGGGAGAAACTCGACGAGACAAACAACCCCCGGAAGGGGTTGGGATGGAATAGGAAGTTCCACAAGGCAGGAAGCCTGGCAAGGCTGATGTGGCACTTTTAATCCAATCATAAGACGGTTTAAAGCGCGGGCTAAGTTAACTGTCCAATCTTGAGGACTTGTACTGCATGTTACCCACGTGTGCGGGAGAACATTATAAAAGGGCTGAATTAGTTGTAATAAACGGGCATTGCTTGATCACGTTGGTCGTGTGTGTGCTCAGCTCTCCCGCAGACAGGGTGCTATATAACTTTACCTAGGATCCTTTCCCCATGAGAGTTAGACCAGATGATCTTTTGAGGTCCCTTCCAACCTGCTCTGTTCTATGATTCTACGATTATTCAGCCCAAATTTCTTTTAAAATTGCCTCGAATGTATCTGCCAGCAGGAAGAAAACGTGTGTCTGCATGGTCTAGACTAAGACTTGGTTTCATCTCTCAGACATCCACCTAACTTCTTTCCTTAAGGTGTCAATCTCTCTATGTTCACTAGAGAGGACACTGGAGGCAGTGGAAGTGGGGTCAGATGAATCTTCTACCCACCTCTGGCCCTCAGCTACATTTCCTCAGGGAAAACAATGAACTCCAAAGTCTCTGGGAGCCTGTTGTTGTCAGATTACAGATGTGTGGCAGTATGATAACAGAGTCCTATACATATTGCAGATAGACAGCAAATGGCTGAAACTTTAACTACAGAATGATGGTTGTATCAGTTCTCCTCTGTGAAGTAGGGGTTTTAACCTGGACACAGAAATCAGTTGAGTACACAAACTCTTCATTTATCCTTCATCCCTCAGACACACTTATGTCTATAGCTAATTCTGCTCTACAGCTTGTGATTCTTGTATTTCCTGTATCGTGGCACCATTTCGTGCTCCAGGCCTGGCCCCAAGCTCTTTTGTAAGAGGTCTGGTATAAAGATGAGTTTGGGGAGAAAAACATTTTGTCATCCAAAAATGGCAGCTCAAAGAGATTAAAATAATTACGAATTCATGTTAAACTCATTAAATTATTTTGGATAATTTGAAAAATGTTACTATGAAAGTTCCTCGTAAATTATTTAGGGAGTAGGGGGGTTAGAAAACATTTCATTCTAAACTTTTACAACATTATATTTAAAAGGAAAAAAAAAAAAAAAGGAGCAAAAAGTACCCTTAGATTAAAAAACAATTACGCTTTCTTTGACTCAAAACCACTTTCGTTGTTGCTCTTTTTTCTTTTAGTAGAAATAATAATAACAACAAAAATCTTGGATCTGTTTCCTCTTTTTTTTTTTTCCCTGAATTCTGTGGTTTATCCAGAAAATTAAAACTTCAGTTTTATGTGAAAAACTCTGTTTCTACAGAAAGACACAATAAAAAGACCTGATCTATGACCCAGATAGCTAACACAGCAGGTAAAAGATCAGGCACACAGTTAAGACAAAAGAAAAAAAAAGAGTAGATCATGAACTATACCTTGCATGCCTCACTGCTGCCCATCTGCAGTGGGCAGAACTCAGGAAGCCAAGTGGTCCATCCTTCCCTTTGGCACACACACACACATATATGTATATATATATATATATATATATACACAAATAGTATATTACATATATTCTATATTGATTGTGTCTTCAATAAAAGATGTCACGTGAATTTAGGAGCATTAGTATCATACTGAATGATCCCCTGTGCCCCACTTATGGCTCTCACAATCTCTTCCCTATCGTATTCTTCTGAGATAACATCTTTCTGGATTTTGCATCCCTGAAGTATACTGAGTGTTTTGGTTTGTTCCCCCTGGAATAATCAGAATATCTAGAAATGGCTGAAGGCCAATAATTTCAAGCTGATTGTCCAAACTAGAAGGTTAAAGGGAATATATACATCTATGCATCTGTATAAAGATGTAATTAAGAGGATGTGGAAAGCCAGAGCTTTTGAGTCTCAAAAAAATTTGTGTCCCTGAACTGTGAAAGTGACAAGGATATTGTGTAACTCCCTAAAAAACCTGTCTGCTGTTTCTGTGGTCAGTTAGGCTAGCAAAGCACTAGCCACCACACTGCAGTTCTCTGCTGAAGGTGCTGGAGGTGGTCAGAATATTCAGGTTTAACAGTGTTCCACGTGGATATGCAGCAGGCAGATTTTGACCACCCAGATAACATGAGTACCAAATGCTCATCTGAATTCAGGAAAGGCAGAACTCTGAGGGCCAAATTCTGATCAACACTATCATTACACCACCGTCTTCACTGACCTTGAAGCACTGTCATGCCAAGGGGGAATCTGGCCCCCAGAAGATTTGTGGGAGCAGGAGAGGCGAGCATTTTCTATTATTTGTCTAGCGTGGGAGCTTGCATTGCACTGTGCAAAATACTCAGCACTAAAACGTTCAAGAAGTAGGGAATAGGGAATGGAAGATGACTACGAATTCACCTTAACATCAAGCTGTGTCTTTCTAAATGTCAACCTTAAGAGGAAAGGACCTGCAGGTCAGAATGAGACATACAGAAGAATTTAACACAGAGTTTTGAAGGGAGGTGGAAAAATATTTGGGCAACAAGTAGAAAACATGGCAATTTCGTTAGAGCCTCAGAGGTAGGCAGCATTTACCATATGCTGTCGCCTTCATTACACAAGAAGATAAACCCCGTGGAGTGCAGGCTGCACTGTCAGTGCACTGTAGATAGTGGGGATTCCTGGCATCCCTATGACTGTGTGCCAGGGTGTCCTAAAAATGGTGTTAGTCTAAAATAAAAAATGGTGTGAGTCTAAAATAAAAAATGGTGTGTCTAAATAAAATCCAGGTTCTGTATGCATGCATAAATATGCTGGTGCCCAGCGGCACTACTGCTGGGCTATTAGCACTTCATGGGATTCCTAATCGGGGCAGAAAAGGAAGAGTAAAAAACAGCGTGTTTGCATCTAGACAACACATTAATCAGCCCTGTAAGTAGCCAGTTAGAGTGGGATCCTCAGAGGAAAAGCCTGTACTGGGTACACGTTAGACATTTTGTTTAAAAATTAAAGTTCTTATGTTTAATCAGTTTTTGGAGCAGGATGGAAAACAGGATTAATTACAGTTCCTTCCATCAGTCTCCCATACCGCTGGAGCCACAAATGATGCACCTTTTCAGCAAAAGGGCCGCCATCAGCAGCAGGCACAGGAAACGCTAATTGTAATTAAGGAGTTTATTTGGAATCGGAGAGCAGAGCTTTAATCAGGAGGAGAACGGAGCCTTGCTGTGTGAACCTTCAGAAAGTGGTTACTGAGCAGAATGGGTCTTTTTAAACCAGAGAGAGGGGTCTTTAAACTTCCGGAGTGGGTTTTCATCTCGATTATCTCCTCAGAGGGATGTGGGTGAAAATACTCAGCGGGCCAATTTGTTATTATTTTGCACTTGCATAGTATTTACATGGCATGTCTCACTTAATGCTGTCATAGGACTTTGCAAGGGGCAGTAAGTTCTGTTCTGGTATTAAAACGAATGAATTAAACCCTAAAGGGGCTAAGGATGCCAGCTGACATGATTATGCAAGAAGGCAGAGAGGCGCTGATGGACACAGAGCTGTGCAGTGAGGCCTCACAGATTTATACACTCTAATTCACTGCATTCCATCCTGGGAAGGCATCACAGACTAGGACCCCCACCATCACAACCTCAGTTTGTAGGTCTCAGTGAAAGCCTGGGGTAAAATAACGCCTCATGGGTCAAATGTATGCGTGACTTTGCAAACACTCCAGGCACTTACCAGCTTGCAAGTAGAACTGCGTCCATTCAAATTCTGGCTTTGGGAAAACAGAAACAGGCGGTTCTAGGTTCAGGACACCTCCATCCAAATCCTTGAAAAGGGCCTTCCTGGAGCCTTTGCATCTCTTCTCAGGGAACATGGTGTCTTCAGAGTTCTGTACACTGACAGGTAGAAGAGGTAACGTAATTATGAAGAAGAGCGCTGTTGTTTGTAATATATTTACGCTGGCAACAAACACTTCCGCATATACATGCAATACCTTGATATTTGCTAGGTGAACTCACATGCCCAAGAAAAGAAAAAAAATGGAAAATAAGTGAAAATGAATGAAACCCAAGCGTATCAGCTGAGATCTGACATACCGTGCATAGAAATTCTGTAGCAATATTTATCTTTTGGCATGCTTGCATAGAAATGGGGAAAGAAAAAAAAAAAAAAAAAAAACCACCAACATCTCCTCTCTCCAAATGTTGGTTGGATTTGGACAGAGAAAATAATATTTTTTTTTTTTTTTTTCCAGCGTAACTTCTATCCCCAAATCTCTTCCCTGGGGTTTGTTTTAGCCAGTGTGGACCATCACGGTCCTTAGAGCCAGTTGTACAGTTGCAGTTTGGGCACCTTTGCTTCCCTCTTGGTTCTCCTGATCAGAGAAACTACAGTGATGGAACCATCACTATCCATATGCCATTAATTTTTGACCTATGGCAGATGAAATCTGTAGGTGCTGAGTGAAGCATGTATATTGGCATCCATCGCACTAAGTGACCAGAAATATCTCTGCTTCAGTTTGCAGTGCTGATGTGGCACAGGCTCTTCACATCCAGCAGGGGATGGATTGTTTAGTTTTGCTCACAGATTGGTCTGTGTTGTACATAATATTTTGTTAAAAAGCACTGACTGCCCAGAAGTACCGGTTTGCCTTGTTCTTACTTCTTCACTTGGGAATGGGAAAGCCTCCTGACAGGTCAGAAAATTGCACCTTCCCATGTGCAACTAAGTTTATGCAGAAGAAAGCATGAAGCAAGGTGAAATGACAGAAAGTATGAGAGAGGGACCCAGCAGGGAACACGCATCTTAAATAAAGGCTTGGAGACTCCTAGAACAAGCAACAAGATTCACAGTCAGTCCACAGAGGGTCCATCTATCCAAGCTGGCCAGTTTCAGACCCCATACTTTTCCCAGATCAACTGAGAGAGCCTGTCCATGTCTGTAAAGTTAAATTCCCTTAGCATTCAAAACAGGACGGTTGGTTTTGAAAAGTCCTTGACCAGCTCTCAAACTCCAGCATTGATTGGGTCCGTGTTAGCTGGCTCATGCCAAAGCCAAGCCATGCTAAGCGCTGAAAAGTGCTATAACTCAAGTTCTGATGGCCAGGTCCTTGGCTCTACTTAATTTGTTAGTATGAACATAACCTGAAGAAACAAAATAAAGAGACTTCTAGGAATTCAGAGAAGTTTGTTGCAGGTCAAGGAGCCACTTAACATTTCTAGAGCAGAAGCACACTTGAAAGAGAAATTTTATTTTAATAGTGCATAAAGATTAATGTGTTTATAAACCTATTTTGTTGTTTTTCTTTTGTACCCAGGTATTTGGAACTGTGTCTGAAAATATTACTGTCCTAATTTATGTTCTAATAAAAAAAAAAAAAAAAAAAAAAAAGGGTTATTTTGATGGGCTTAAAGTAAAGTGTACATGGATCTCACCACAAAGCTAAGCTTGGTTCAGGGTTTCATAACCCAGTCACACATATCTGGTACTAAGTGATTACTCCACCAGACAGTACTCCACCAGTACTGTCTCCCAGACAATTTCTGTCTCCTAGACAATTTCTCTCTTCAGATCCTAAGAATAGAATGAAACCATACTTTGAAAATAAGATTAATAAGGTTAGAGAGTTTCAGAACATTAGTCCAAACTAGAACAAAACTCGTTTTGGACAGCATGACAATGTATCTCGGCAAACTGCACCTAATTTTTGAATAAATTTATCCAATTCTATCATCAGTATACTCTGAGGAGGAAATTGTAAGTTTAAACACTTGAAACAGACAGAAAAGCTTATAAATTTTTACGTAGATCATTAAAGACTGGCTTTTACAGAGGGAGGTACCTGAAACAGGATTTGTTGGAGGGCAACTCATCTCACCCGAGACATATATAGTACAAGTGAGATTAAGAATTTCCTAGACAAGAGTCTCTATTGACTACAGAATGAGTTTAGTGTCTTCTTTAGATTACATGCCTGATTTTTTGATCACTGAAGTGTAGTGAACTGAATGACATGTTGAGAATCTTAAGTGCTTTTAACTTCAATTTGAATGAAGGTTTAAAACAACTTAAAGGAACCAGCCAACTGGCCATATCACTCTTATTACAAAATACAATGAGATACAATGACTTGTAATCAGCAAAGTCCATGGAAACATCTTCAGATTTCTACATGGATTCACATTAAGTCTTGAAGAAAACTTGGAATTTCTTGGGTTCAGGTTGGAAAAAAACCCAATTATTGATATTCTGAACGTGGCAAACAGAGGCAGGCAGATATTTACAGTAAGGGCAGAGAAACAAACGGGCCAATTCCCAAATCAACACGTCTCAAAAGAGGTGGAGAACAAAGATAGCTCTGATCCTGACAGCTAGTTCAATTCTTGAACATGTTTCAGAAGATCCAGCATTTCAGCTGGTTGCATCTACCAGTGGGACAAGGAAAGTACTTCATGGTCTTCCCTTATTCCCTGTTGTTTCTATTTCCTCTCTTGCTCTAAGGCAATGCTCACCTTCTCTTTGAGAGGACATATCCATCAAGACACCCCTTCAGGATGCTGAAGGAGAACCCACAGCCTGGACCAAGCTCAGCAGTTATACAGGTGGATTAAATGAACGCATGCAGATAATGCATGAGGAGCACTGAGAGATGCAATCACCCTCCGAGGTGTGCCAGACTACTAAGAAAGCATTCAGTAATCTATGTGCATTCGTCATGTTTGAAAATCAGCAGCTCTTGCAGTGGACTGTATCAGCAGCTCACCAATAGCATAGTACTGTGGGATGGATACAAGAGTGAAACGTAATGGGAGCTGACAAGCTGGACAGGTCTCAGAAATCTACACGCAAACGAATGCCCAGAGCAAAAAGGAAAAATATAGTATAAAATAAAAATTCTGGCAGAAGGCTGGAGGGTCTCTAAACATAGCAGTGTGGGACACCTCCAATTATTTTTGACTGGCAAGCGGAATCTGTGCTGGGTTTTTTTTGCTACTTCAAGGCTTTCCTGATATAGCCTCTGTATTGTGTCCATTGGTTGTAATAAATAAATAGGCATGTGGTTTCCATTGGATGTGGTATGTTTAAACCGCTGCAACCAGAAGTGACTTGAGGTCACAAATGAAGCTCTCCCTTCCCTCCTCCATGTATCCTCTACACGCAGATGATATTCTCCCTGGGCAAGAGCAGTTCTGGCAATCATTTGACATCTCACAGCATGCCTGGTACTGATCAACATTTCTGATGTGATCTTGCAGGCAAAAATCAAGCTCCGCTTCCCTGACCAGAAGGACATTTTCCATCTCAGGGTTTTTTTCTGAAGCCCGAGGCTAAGAAGACAGAGATGCTCAAGATGGAGTTTTAAGAAATGGGATACGTGAGGTTTGTTTTGCTACACAAGTGTCAGTAACAGGGGAAATCCAAGAGGATTGCTCTGGAAATGCACCTGGATGGAATCTGAACCTCTATTTTTTTTTAAAAAAAATGCCCTAAAGTTTGGGATTTTTTTTTTTTTCTGGATTTTTTTTCTGTGAGTGTTTGTTTGATGTCTGAGCTTGCTTATTTTTACAAGACAGGAACAGAGACAAAGAATGGGACTGCTCTGCAGGTAGACATCCAGTCTAAACTAATTGCTTGAACTCTTTGCAAGACAATACAAAAAGACAACTGATACAGAGGTGAGGATAGTCCCAAAACTGTAGGTGTTGGTTGTTTTGTTTTTTTTTTTCTTGCAAACCACTGAAAAAGATAGTTCAAAATGAAGCATATTACCTTGCTGGATGAAAGTAAAACTTGTCCTTCTCATTGACATGTAACATCCTTGATGTCTCCGCTGTAATAAGAGGCATGATGTCTAAATGGTCAGCATTTGACATGATGCAGACATCCCTGTCTTCACTGTAGCAGCTCTGTGTAAAACCAGTAAAGGTGACTTCTGCCAGGGATTAAGAGAAGATCAAATAAGGAAAAGTAGTTAGAGGAGTGCCAGAACTAGGGAGAGAAAGTCTCTGTTCTATGATATTTTCTATGTTAAATAGTTCATATATATATATATATATATATATATATATACACACAAATAATTTTAAAATCAGACTAATTGCACTGATCATAGAGCTTCAGTTGGCTTTAGAATATTCCATGGCCAAGTTATATCCTAAATTGACAAAACCCAAGTCATGCCCATAGGAAATGAAAGCAAAGGAAATAGGAAATGAAAAAGAAAAAAAAAAAAAAAAAAAAAAAAACAAACCAAAAAACAACAAGAGTGATTAATAAGTTTTCAACTTAATCAGTGAGAACCAGTTTGCTGACAACCTGCCTTGGATCTTTTATTCACTTGCCAGATATTAATATAAGATAAGCTGGGTCTGGTGACATGTGCTTGGCTCTGGCACTGAACTCTTGTGCAGCTACAAAATCCATGTTTTGCTACAAGTTTTCTACTAAACCCTGAGCAAGTCTATTTGTCTTTTTCTGTCTCTTATTCTTCAGTAAAAAGAAGATAATGTGTTTTCTTACACAAGTAGGTAGCAGTGAGGGATAAAGTCATGAAAAAAATGTGAGGTATTTAGATCCCACCACGGCAACCAGCCATCTACAAATATATACAAATATTACTCCGGGGACAGTAAAAGTCATTTGAAGCAAAGATGTGGGATATATAACCGACTTTTATCCCTCTTGTGTAATCCTGTATAACAATAAAAGCCATAACTGTTTCTGTGCAGCTGTAGTCATTATGTTCTACGCAAATTCTATACAAACTGTGCTATTCACTTCTCAAACTTAGTATCTTTATTTAACTAGAGATAACTGTAGATCGGAGAGATGAATCAAGTGGAAAAATAACAGAAGGAAGGCATTTTTGAAGTAAAATATATACATAGCACATGACATAATTATACTGCAGTAGATTCAGAAAGTGAAAAATACCAAGTAATTTTTTTTTTTTTTTTTTACTTTAATCGTATTGAACTGAAGAAGAATTCTGTTATTAATTCTACTGATGCGAGGATTTCCTCGCCACATCCATTTGTGGGTGTGGAAGGCTGCAACTTCAACTGGAAAAATGCAATTAGTTGAGAAGAACAGTGACAGAATAGTCTGGCTACTGGACGTGGAAGACCAACCTTTCAACTTCATGAGTCCTAAGACTTTTGGACAATGCTCACTTTTGTGCCATGGGTCATGTGGCCTTTGGCTGGCAACAGTGGTAAAGGTAGGCCATAAAATCCCAACACGGCCTCCTAGAGGGTAACGTGGTGGTCGATCCTTGGCTGTTAGATCAGCTGAGTGAGGTTTGATCCTGTCTCTGATGCAGTCAAAAGTTGAGCTCGTTGCGACAATGACGGAATTTCTGAGTTCTATGAATCTTTTCCCTGTGTGGCATTGCTTGGCATAGAGACAGTGCACTACTGGCATGAGACCCACAGTGTTGTCCACCAGCACCACATTGTCCACGATGACGCTGCTTCCAAGGTGGAACATGACACCATAGTCATAATTCTTATAAGACAGAAAACCTGTGATCCTAGTGCAGGTCTGAAATCCATCTCCCTGGTACAGATGAATACCATGGAGACTTGAATGGGCGATGTTTTTGCTGCAGTACTCTCCATCTAGCAAACACTCCTGGCCCCTGATATGAAAGCCAATTCGCTCAGATCCTGCCACAGCATTGCCACAGAGGGAGACACCAATGGCAAGGTTCACCTTGATGCCAGCAACCCAGTTTAATAAGTCTTCTGGCTGCCTGCTCAGAATAACAAGGTTCCTGGCGAGAGAATGGTTTTGCCCTTCCAAATCGATGCCAGGTCCAACCGTGTTGAACACCATGTTATCCTGCAACAAGACCCAGTTGCTCATGACTGCTTTAATGCCAGCTCCGCAGCTACCGTTAATGCTGGATGACACCACCGAGGACCCTTGGGATATATTCCTGAATTCAAGAGCAGAAAGCTGAGGAGGTCCAAAGTTCAAAAACTCAACATTTAAGAGTTGAAGGACACCTGCGATGAGATAAATACAGGGAGATAAAAGCTTACAAAATTACCTAAAACGGGTATGTATGACACCCATTTAAACAACACTCAGGCATATAATAGAAGAGAATCTTTGTCAGTGTATTGGCAGTAAGGGGTATTTGTTCAGAAATATATATAAAGTTACAGTTATATACATACCAACTAACCACAAAACGGCCCCTCCTGAAATGCATTGCATTATTTATGAAATATTATTAATATTCATGTTTCACACATGTCGGGCAGTCAGTTTGCGTAGAACTGCATAGTACATGGGAGTGGATACACCTGGTGTTAGGCTGTGCTTTCTCGGGCAGAACTGCTCTGATGGATGGGGAGAGGTGAATCTCAACTACCTTCAAACACTGTCCCACTGGAGTCTGTAAATCGTCCCACGAGCATCCTCCCAGCACAAGTCACATCAGACTTGATCTGTATGTTCCGTGTGAGGAGTCCAACCTCTGCAGCCAAGGGGATGCGTCCACCATCTTCTGTGGCGTGGAAATGCCCTGGAGAGTTTCAAGAAAATGTGATAAGTGTCTATCATACCTATAAACCAGTGCTTTGAGGGACATAAAACCTGACAGCTTGTGCACAGCTTCTCTGTAGAATCTGCACTGACATTCAGGTGTGTTTTTCCTCCAGCACAACCTACATGCATCAACACAAACCCAGAAAGGCCACCTGCCCATCAACTTATTCACCATGCACTTATATTTTACCAACATATTTCATCTTTAGAATAAGGAGGTGCTAAATCTTTTCCCTGCGGTGTGCAGCTGACGAATCAATGAACAGATTCACGCTTCATTTTTTTTTTTTCTAAGCTACATGTGCTGGAGTTAGTTATTCTTCAGTACACTGCAGAGCTGATCTCCACGAATCGTTGTTAGGATCAGACCAATGGCAATGCTAAAACCCAATTTTCTAAGGAGTTTTGGTGGTGTGTGTTTTCTAAAGAAAGTCTTTCTAAATGAGGCTTGAGAGAGAGTTTATGCAGATGTCTAGCGTGGAATTAATCTCAGGTGACTTTAGGTGTCTACAGATACGAATTAGTTATCCAAGCTGGTTTTGTGTACAATGGAGAGCAATAGGCAGTTCTCAAGTGCAATTCGTTATCTAGTTTATACGTCTGCTTTAGGGGGCAATGAAATACAGGTGAGCAGTATGTTTTTTTTCTGCTTGGACTACCAAGGGATCTGAGTGACTAGCTCATGTGTGAATATTTACTGTAGATATTTACATTTGCCCAAGTGAATCCCAGTATTTACGTAGCTCTTAATTCTCCCATAAGTAATTTTTTTTCCACCTGCCTAACAACTGCTGCAGTACTCAATGTGTATGCAAACATTTCATCTCAAGGTACTTTTTTAATATCTATATTAGCTAAGAAAATAGGTGAAGAACCATTCTCTGGCCCCAAAACTGACTGGAAGGTTTCTTCCTTCCCTACAAAATAGAAAGACTATGCATAAACTGCTGGAAATGGGGTCTAGATGTGCTATTTTTGAACTGCTTTTTTTTAAAAAAAAAACATAGTTTTCATACAAAACTATACCATGGAGGCTACTGTTTATTATCCCTATGAATAACCACAGAACAGGGTTCAGTTCCAAGTAAAGCTTTGTTTACTAACACAAGTCTATCCATTTAAAACACAATATTTCTGGACCTTTTTATTAATCATACCAACTTCTGTGCCTACTAATCTGAATAAAGACCAAATTAAAACAATATTGCTATGCACAGGAAAAATCCTGGTTTTGGAGCTTCAGAATTTGACTTGTTATTAAAAATATATATATTTTTAATAGATGGTAATAAATTTACCTTATACTCTGAAATAAAATTAAAGAAACTATCAACAATGCATCACTTTTTCCATTTAAATACAGATCCTGTGTAATCCACACAGGAAATAGAGCTATATATAGATTTGATGTTTATTTACATATAAGATTACAAATAAATACATTAGTTTCATGCCACAGAATTAATAAAAGTTTGCACTTTACATTAATCTAATTACTTTGAAATTTGGAAAAAAAAAATCCGTTTTTGACACACCACAGAAATTGTGCTAATGGCCTAAAAAAAATCCGCTCTTTTTTTATTTTTTCCTTTAGAATTTCAGTTACTTTCTCTCTCTGTTAACCAATTCTACTTAAAACATGAAACATACAGAAGTTTTCCAAAAGTATTCAGCACTGAACTAATTCTATTCCCAGAAATTCATGTCAGAATCAGTTGTTCTATGAAATTTTGAGCATGAAATCTTCAGTATCAAAACAGCAGGAAAAAAAGCATGGGGAGAAAGGAATGAGGATATGTCAATAATGTGGAACTGATCTTGGTGAGATATGAAATGGAAGGTCAATGCTTCGGAAAAAAAAAACAACAAACACCAACCCAAAAAAAAACCCTCTCTCAAATGGAAAGACAGATTCTTTACCAATATGCCTGTGCAGAAGGCGCTCATGAATCCTTACGCTATGGCCATTGACTTCTTTCAGTGTAACTACTTCAGCTTGGTGGGACTCATAGGAGGAAGAGCCGATCACAATATCTCCATCAGGATTCCAATCTACTTCGTCCCTCACAAAAATCCTGTAATGCCAAGATATTAAATCGATGTCATTTCGTTTATGAGAGTTACTCTTACAGATTTCCTAAAAAAAAAAATAAATTAACAACAGTTTTGCCTAGGTAGAGCTCAGAAAGAACCCACAGGCTACGCTCTAGAAAAAAACTCCTTCAAGGCTTTCTGCAAAAACAGATGTCTAAGATATGTGGGAGGAAATGAATCCTGAAACATCTCTTTCACACCACTGATTAATAAGGTAATACAGTTCCAGTACAGAGTTGCAGGGCTCAAGTTGCCTACCAAAGGCATGTCAGACCATTTTTGGTGCCACAAATACCCTACAGAGTCAGCTTTGGACTTAGACAACGGTATGTAGGTGTCCATGTGTAGGGGGGTGCGTGCACTTGGCATTTAAACTTCCACTATAGTTGATGGGTGCAGGCAGTAGCGGGCAGAAGGCAATTCAGCTCTCTGAACTGGCACATAGAGCAGGCTTTGATTCCTTAAACAAGAGCACCTCTTGCTATCTGAGATGTTCCAGGATATCTAAGGCATCAGCTGGTGGATCTGACAGGACTTGCTCATGGAGCATTCCTGGAGACACAGGTGGAAGCTATGGGTGGGACTCGAAGGCTTCTCATCTGAGCCCAAAGCACCTCAGATGAGTCTAAAACCTGTGTTTAGATACGTGAATCCTGCCCTTGGTACCTGAATAGCCCTCTAGGCTCCAGCGCCTAGAACTCCACTCTCCTGAAGCTTAGGGACCTTTTTAAACATTAAAGACACCCACATTTATCTGTTTAATCTTGAACAGAAGGTCTCCCTTTGCATTCAAAGTCATATTTGTAGCTCAGGATTATTTTCAGCTCCACATAGAGAAAATAAAAGCGTTTAGTGAAAGTCAAATGGATAACGATCAGTGTTTATATATATTTGATGAACACCTTTGCAGGTGTGACTGGTGCTGGCCAGTTGATGATCTATATTCCTTGGGTAATTGTTGAGAAAACAGACCACTGAATGAATTCAGAGAACACCTCATCGTGCAGTCCAGAGTGATGGAAGTGCAGAGAGGAAGGAAAGTCCTAAAGGGATGTAACTAGTGAGTTATGTCGCCAGGTTTTCCTAGTGTCTCTTCTCACAGATTTTTTTCAAAGATGAGTTAGGCTCAGGATGAGTGCTTTCAGTTTTCAGCACCTGTGAACATTCAGTAGAGAAGTCTACCAAAATTTTGATTTTTTTTTTTTTTCTTAGATGAAGCACTGAATATTTTCTGAAATGGCAGGAGAGTGCTAGTAGGACTGAAAACTCTGTATTGTTCAAGGTTAAATGCACTGGCAAAGAGGAAGCTAAACCACACTGAGGAAGAGTAATTGTGACATATATTGGGGATTTTTGACAGTTCACATGCAACCCATACTAGAAGTTGAATCTTAAGCCCGAAACCCAGGCATACACTCCAATAACAATTTACATCTTGCAGACCCAAATATAACTTTTTTGACTCTTGCATTTCAAAGAAGTCTAATAAGAGGAATGAGTAAGCAAATGGAAACATGGTTTGTAAGATACACCATCTAAGATACTAATCAACTGAAATACTAATTAAGGTTTTCTATGTAAGTACTTATTTTCTTCTCCTTCTTTTTGAAGGCATAAGTCCTTCCCTAACTCATGTGCTGATTCATGCTGGAAAATATATGGAGCAGCTTCTCTCAGTCAATAAAAAAGCCACTTCCTCCAGCTTTCACATTCTAGCACTGACTTGCTTTTTTCCTGTATCTAACCACATTAACTCTTAGCTTGCTCTTAGTAGACCTTTCATGACAAATAGCTTTTTTTTTTCTTTTTCTTTTTCTTTCTTTTAACAATGGAAACATTTTTTTTGTGAGATATTTAAGGTAGATGATTAAACTCCAAATACTTGTATCTTAACACTTCCTGGTATTTCACATAAAACATCTGGGCAGCAGACCAATACTAGCCTGGATCCCTTTCATCCCAGTATTTCACTGGTATGTCTCAGTCAAGAATCTCTTTACTCTGAACTCCCACCCTAATCAGGGGAAGAGAAGAATTTCCAGAGAGTGATTCTAATGTTGCATGATTTGAATCCGCATCTGGAAGTATCTGTCTCTCCATTGACTGTACAGCAATCCTAAACAATTAATCCACACTAGACACTCAACTGTGTGAGAGCTAAAACCAGACAAATCCTACTTGTACTTCCATTGCCATCTTTACAATGACTTTCCAAATAATTCCTTAAATGCTGGGAGTTCACTTCTATCCAGATGGAAACTCTTCCGATGAGTTTTTGTTAGGCCTGACTGATAGAAATTTTTTTTCTTGAATACACGTATTTCAGTTTAAAAAGAAGCATTTGAAAGAATTAGATCAAAAGGCACAACAAATTTTGTGTAACAGAATCAAGGATGATTACTCAACATCTATGGCAACTCTACTTAACCCGCCTTGGGTGATGGTTTTGGCTAAGCCTTCAGACTGAATTCATGGGTAAGTGATGATGAAGATGAATCTGCTGCAGGGACAAGCTTATGGATGGACAGCATCAGGGAAGAGAAAAAGTAGCATTTCAAAGCTATTTTTGCCAAGGGTAAGTGAAAATGTGTCTATACCTCAGAAGGCTCACATCCCAGACAGAAAACTTACTCTTCAGGCTATACAGGCAGCCTTATATTCTTTGAGCTAATTGATATTAATTACATATACCAGAAAGATTGACTCCAATAGGATAAATTAAGTTGTTCACAACAGAAAACTCTTGGTAAAGGACTGATCTAAGATGTTGAAGAACATCCCAGTTTTGCTTAATTCAGAGAAGAGATTTTAAGGTAGGTCTCTTAAACCAGATTGAATATTCTAATCACTAAGACATCAGCCACTTTTGTGTACATCTCTTCCTTCTAAAAATAAAGAGAAAGACAGGGGAAGGGAAGGGAAGGGAAGGGAAGGGAAGGGAAGGGAAGGCTCAGCTTTGTTCTTCAGAATTAAAATTAATCTAAAAATAGTATCACTTCCTTGCAAGATGTAACATAGCTGTTCTTTTTCTACCTAGACATAGTTTAAACAGATCCTGTCACAAAGAAAATGAATAAGGCAGCTCATAAGAACATTAATACAAGTCATTGGAACAGGAGCCCAAATTTAATATTTGGAGGCATATTTGGGCAAAATACCACCTTTCATTGCCAGGATCAACGTTAGTTCCCAGATGTGTCCAAGATGTCTTAGGATAAGCACTATAAATATGCACTTGTCCATAAACCCCTGGAAAAAAACAGAAGCAGGTGTTCAAATGTTAGGGGAAAGAGAGACTTGAGAAGAACTGAACCAATAACTAAATGCATGGAAATCCTTATATTTATTAAAGAATGTGTCTATATTTTATGAAAAATGTAAGAACAACACATAGCCTCCACTTGCAATACAAAGGGAACTAGGAATAAATAATTAATAAAGGAAAATGACCATCACATGTAAATACAAGGGCTTGTACCATAGAAGTCTCATGAACTAAAAGTTGTATTGCAGACAAAGGTATTTACCTTAAAAAATAAATCTACCCAAGTAAACAAATTAAATAAAAACTCTAGGAGTGAACAATAAAAAAAAAAAAAAAATCAGCTATTATTTATATTTCTTATCTGTGAAAAAAAAAATCACTATTTCTTTCCAGAAAGGGGATCCAAAAGCAGGGGAAAAAAACCCAAAATATAGGAACTATTCATATAGATGACATGTTCCAAGAAGATTACATTTGAAGCATGAAAAAAAAAAAAAAAAAATCTGAATTCCTGCACTGAAATGCTTTGTTTCAATTTGCTGAGCTGATCTGAAATCTTTCAGTTTGAGTCAGTTCAACATTTGTTCTGAATCACTTATAGTGACAGATTGTTTCAGAGAAGTTGTCCTTCAAGTATTTAGTGAACCCTTTTTACTGCTTGGGTTAACCTCCTCCATGGACAACATTTTCCATGACGTATTGCGCCGCTATAGTCCAAAAGCAGACTGCAGCACGCGGTTGGTAATGCAACCCTGATTATCCCACCAAGACAGACATTCAAAAAAAAAATAAACCAACCTTCCATGATCTTGCATTTTCTGTGGTTTAAGAGGATAGGATGAACAGTTGTGAAAGTCTCATTTGATCTGTGATAGAGTGCTAAACTGCAACAATGCATCTGTCTTCTTTTCTAGCCCCTAAAATCACGGGAAGTCGAATTGCTAGCTCTTGCTATACTTCAACTCCTAATTTAGACTTTAAAAACCCCTCAGAATCCATTTCCTCTGACAATTAGGTTTCTGTCTTGCCTTCCAAACATTCCACTTAGCTATTTGCTAGAAGTTTGTAATTACTTGGTCAATGTGTGCAATAGTTTCTCAATGTCACTATCAATCAGAAACAAATTGTTTGGTTTTTTTTTTCTTTGTTTGTTCATCTGTTTTTTCTCTGAATTTCTTTAATATTCTACAAACACTGATCCAGGCAATTTCTCTTGAGAGCAGTTTGAATTTCTGTTGTCTTTACAAAAGTTCAGCAATAAACAAAGTCTTGTAATACTCAAGTATTACATAAAATATATTTCAAAACATAAAGAAATAGAAAACATTTTTAAAACAGAAAACTGAAAAGTTAACATTGCTTTAACCTTAATTATATGAGGACATGTAAAAGTTAACATAAACCTTCTTTCATCCATCTTTCTATGGGTCCAAATGCCTGGAAATATTTAATATGTGTATTTGGATCCATCTAGAAATTCATCTCACTTAAGTCAGTCATTTAAAAATAGTGATATGCATTTAAGCTCATCATCTTAGCCTGGAAACTTGAGGGCAATTTGTTTCATCCTAGGAGAGACCAAAAATAACTGAGATCAAATACCCTGTGGCAATGTGCATTGCTCTCCACTCAACAAGCTCATCTTAGTTTTAATACCTTCAACTTTGACAAATACCTTTTACAAGTCTCAAGTCTAGAACCAAGAAAAACCCTTGTATATGTGTATAAGTCCTTCCAAGTCCTCTCTAGTTTCTCATATAAAGACTTCAGAATTTGATCTGATTAGTTGCTCACTTTTGTCAAATTTTGCCTAAATAATATCTCCACAAAAACAAACAAACAAACAAACAAACAAAAAAAAAAAAAAAAAAAAAAAAAAAAAAAAAAAAAAAAAAAAAAAAAACACAAACATGAATTGACTTGGTGAAAGTTAAAAATTTTAGCTCAGAAAATATATGTACCTTTGTTAGATGTTTTCCTGTATGACATTATAATAACAGCCTCAACAACATTGTTTCCTATGAAAAAGTGAACTCATTTTTCATACCAATACTCCCTGGGTGGACATTTATTTCCTCCAGACGATCACAGTAAATCCCTTCAGATGCCCGAAGAAGGACCAGCAGCTTTAAATCCCTTTCTAGGGGATGTTGGAAAGAACCTGCAATAAAAATAAAACAGCAACAACCCACCACAGAGGTATATCAGTGGCTTTTGTAATGCTGAAATTGAGAAGGAACTGGGCTGGGCGAATCCAGGTTTAAAAGTCTAAATGGCTGAACCAGTGTTTCCCTTCTTAGCCTATTTATGCCTCTTTGCTCCTTTATAATTTCACCATTTTCCAGGTAATCGTGAGTTCTGAGGCCAGGATGGGTAAAATAGACATTCAGATCAATGGAAAGATTTAGGGACAAGAGTAGTGGAAAAGAAAATGGCCAAGAAGTTTTGGTGTGTGTGATGGTGCTCTTATCTTGTGGTAATAAGTCTGTACAGTAAACTGTATTCCCACTGTGACTTCATTTATTTCACCAAGGGTAGTTTATAGTTTCAGAAGAAAATGGCCCAGCACTAAACAGATACTGAGGAGGAAAAAGTAGGACAGTTTTCGCCCTGGAGAAATGTATGAGGAGTCCAGTAAAGAGTTCGGCGTTCCTTTAAAATTAGAGATTAAATCAATTATGCAACAGAAAAATGCAGCAGATGTAGAACTAAAAAATATATACATATCTGTACAAAATTAGCTGGCCTGTCATGTTCTTTTTATACTTAAAAATTACTAGTTTGGAAAAGAGAGTTGATTTTACATCCTAAAGAAACATTCCTCTTTGAGAACATTTTTTTCTTTAAGTGAAATGAATAAATTCATTGTTCCCCCACCAGTGTCTGACTGGTATCTGTGGATATTTAAATTATTTGTACAGCTTTTAACGGGGTACAAGACAAACAGTACAAGTCTTGCATGCTCCCCATCTAATATACAGCACACCAGTGAGCTCGTATCTTCTCTGGGGACGTGGAGGGAATTTGATTTTACAGTGTCCATCGTCCATCCAAACCATCTTTGACTTGTTTAAACCCAGTAACTCTTGTTTGAACAGAAGAAAACCAGGACTAGGGCTGCAACCAAATGCTACTTTCACAAAGGAAAACTAGTGATAAGCCCTTTTGCCACTGATGTTTGCACAAGGTTAAACATACCCACCTACAGCAGCAGCAGAGTTAAGTAGACGTTTGTGTGTATTTTTGTACACAGAGTGATTGTTTTCCTGCTTCACCTTCACAGCAAGTTGTGATTTAAACTACTCAGCCTGAATATACCTTTCCCAGTCCTCAGGTCATCCGTACCCCCTGGGATAAAGTTATTACACTGAAGACCAAAGAGAGACTCAACAAAAATATTTAGAGGTCTTTATATTGATCTTACAATGTTATTCACAAGTACCATGACACAATCATGATTATGTCCCCTTAAAGTAGGGGATTATTATTAATTATCATTATGAATTACTGCTGGTGTTATTATTGGTGTTACTATCTTACTCCTGTTCAAAAAGCATCAACTAATTCTTCTAGTTTAGCCAGTTACAAATAGCTATGTGATATATCCAATTCTCAGCTCAATTGTAAAACCATTTTTAAGGAGGCTTCTAGGCTTAAAAATAATAGAAAAATGCTTGGAAATTGGGATTTTAAAGGCTTGAATTGGAAGGTATCACTCCTTCAAAAATATTACATCTACATTTAGCTAAACTTTGTGTTTTTTAATCTTAAAGAGCATGACAATAGGTTAAAGAATATTACCCTCGTTCAAGAAAAAACAAACAAACAAACAAACAAACAAACACACAAAATAAAAATATAATCAGACTGAGAAACAAGCTCTGATAAAGCTATTCATAATAACTTATCACCATATTAAATCCTCAGAAAATAAATCAAGAAATGGGAAGATAATGTTCACAGAAATTCTTCAGTGGCTGGAAACTGTAAATAGTATAGGACACAAAAGAACACGGGATATATCTTTGAGTAGAAAAATTAGATTTGTTTTAAGTCTATTTAGAACAAAAATAAGCTTAACGATAGCTTATTACCATTAATAGTTCCATGGGTTTAAATCAATGGATTTCAGTAACCTGAATGCAAGTGCTGGAGACGAGTTGGCCCAGAAACTCATTGAGCTATTCCGGCAGAATTTTCAGTACTTTTGGGATCACTCAAGATGTCTCAGAATGCTTGAAGAAAGCTAATATTGTGCCAATATTTCAAACAAAGATAAAAGCAAGAGCCCCAGGTAATTACAGGCCCATCAACTTGACACTGATTCTAGGGGAAAAATAAATAAAAATGGAATGTCCAACTCTGAACACAATTAATAAATCATTAAAGGTGGATGATATAATTAATGCCAATCAACCTGGTTTATAGAAAAAATGTCCTGTGAAACTTCCTTGTTATCATCTTCTAATGAGATTACAGGTTTAGTTGATAAAGATAATAGCTTTGATATAATATAATTGGCTTCTCCAAGGCCCTTGACTTAGTAGCACAAAACTTTCTGATTAATAAACTACGCTGGTACCACATCAACATGGCACATGTTAATCTACAGGCTGACTGACTAGAACAGGGGCACTGATGAAAACAGGGCTGGTCTTGCAGGTCCTGTGATGTGCTACATTTCATCAGTGACCCAAAGTACTGTGAAGGTACTGAAAGTAAGCAGAAAAGATGACACAAATAGGAAGAAAAAAAAAAAAAAAAAGGCACGGGCCAGCAAAGTCACTAGTAATTTGGAAGTGAAGAATTAGGAAAGAATGTTCAAGATATAAGACAACAGGTCTTGAAAAGGTAATGCTCTCTCTGTGAAGGAAAAGAAGTGGAAAAGATGAGTAAGGTCTGACATAGGCACTTTGGATTATTCTAAATACAGCCCTGCACAACGGTTCGTGAAAATGAAGATATGGAGACAGCAGCTACCTCAGCTTACTCATAGGGAAATCCAAAGGAGTTAATGCACATAAGTCCCTGGGGCTGGATAAGTTTCATCACTTTAAGAAGTAACTGGCATATGAAATCACAGCTCTCGTCATAAGTAGTTTTGTTAAAACTACCAAGCTGTAGTTCTGGAATCATAACCTCTGAAACACGTACGGGAAGGATCTGGGCTGTAAGTGCCTGTCTTTGAACTCTGGATGTGAAAACTTCAGGTTACTTGCCCCACTTTATCGTGGTGAACCAGTCCTACATAAGATCACATCAAACTGTCAAAATTACCCATTCTGACCATGGGATGTGCAGAAATGGATCCCACTTCACTGGAAGGCTTACCGATTGGATGAACAACCTGGTTGTTCATAAGGTGAGATAGTAAGGCACTGCGGGAAGAGAAACAGAAAAAAGGCAACTGCAAGCAAAACCTGGCAGAAGCGTCTGATGAGATGTGCAGGAAAGGTGGCGAGGGATTAAAAATAGCGTATGCAGAAAATAGGCAGGGTTTCCTCAAACATTTTCTACCAGCTGGCAAGTTTATTAGGAATTTGAAGGGTTTGGTTACCCGTCCAGATACAACACATACCTGCTAGCCTTGAGTGCTCCTGAGCACTTTTCTCCACTCTGGATATCTCAGTTATTTCTTCAGTGCAGACACGAGTCAAACTGTTGGCGTCTGCACAGCAACCGTGCAACATCCTACGAGCCGGGCTTTTTGCACAGGCACTGCACGGTGGGTTTGTGCCTTCCCCGTCTGCCTGATGATAGATGTTACATCAAATGGCCTCACCGCAAGGTGTGTGACCTTAGGTATCTAAACCTAAACTTCCAGGTAGTGCTGGCACCACGATACATGCTCTACCCGGTGCAGAAAAGCCCCGTATCTGATAATCCTATGTATAAGAAACAACTTATGTTTCTAATAACATCAGCAC